TGCCGATGACTTCAAGCAAGCGCTTCGCATACCGCACAGCAGCATTCGGGCAGCGTGTAACGGTTTCATTGGCCGTTTGAAGGCCATAATTCGTGCCAAAGATGACCAATTCGAACAAATCTAAACTTATTCTAAAATTTGATGCTATTTCCGACATTTTTTGTATTCATTCCAAAAAAAAACTAAAAAAATGTAAAAATTATGGCGTTTGACTTCGTTGCTGTTTTTTATATCTCTCCCTGTAATGGCACCTCACAATTTTCGAAATTGTTTCAAATTTCGTGTTTGAAATTCGTAATGGATATTACAACCTATGACAGAAAATTGTCTATGCAGGTCCACGTCTTCGCATAGCCCACATATAGCGGTACCTCCCTTTATTCGATATTTTAATGATATAAGCATCATCATTCTTAATCGGTAAAAATGGCATATGTAGGCCCTCGTATTCGTATAACACCAATATAACGATACCTCTCAATATTCGGTATTTTTATGATCTTAAGGACATTATGTTTCAAATTTCGTATTCAAGTTCGTAATGGATACTTCACACATACTATGACAGAAAATTGTATATGCAGGTCCACTTCTTCGCATAAATGTCACTATTAACATGTCTCTGTACTCTCCTTATTATAGCCACAAACCATTTTCTCCAAACGTATTTTGTCTTTACGTATTAATCTTTAAAGAAGGTAGCCTAAGAGACTTATTGCTCACTTTTGATTTTTATGATTATAATAGAAATTTTGAATTTCTTTGACTCGAAATTGCTCCTAGATTATATGTGAATTAAAAAAAAGTCTATATCTAAATTGTGACGATTCAATATAAGCATATACAAAAATGTTATTTCATATTTCATTAAACATATTTGCTATACTGCGATCCGATAAATAATATATTTGTTATTCTCAGTGCGACGATTATGCTTGCACATAATATAACAATTTCTTGGCATGAAGTGCTATCAGCCTATAATTTTATTTTTGGAAAAACAAATTTTCGTTTTTTTTCTAATGTGCATCTATAAAAAATACTAAATAAAATTGCACCTAATAAATGTATAAATATGTGGGATCACAATTTGTTTACACATTTTGTTTTTTATTTATTTTTGAATCAACAAATGCCATACAGTATACCTAAAAAGTCTTTGGCAAAAACATTGGTTTCATTATTGAAAAAAAAAAAAAATTGCCTAAATGGACATAAGTGTATGTCCCCCTGGTAAAAGTTATCAAGTTTCTTCAGTAATAAATAGACAAATAAAACCAAAATGCTTGGATTGAGCTTGACAGAATACTTACGATATCACAAATAAAATGCGAATCCTGTGAGGCAAAGACCACGAAATAAGTAAAATCAGGGGATACCTTTACATTAGAGCCCCAGCAAAACTTCGACCTATATTAATTACTTTCCGCAAGTATGGTTGTACACAATGCCAAATTATGTGGAAAATATGTTCAAAATTTTAACAAAAAATTAGAATCGGAGGGCTATACCAAAACTGGATCGAAATCACCATTTTGAAATACCATTATCAAATTGCAAATCCAAAATTGGATCCACAAAAATAATCCCAACAGGTGATCTACACACAGAGAAATAAGTTTAAAAACAAATCAATCGAAAAATGATGGCAAGACATTCGATATAACTAAATTCAGGAGAGAACTTTAAATGCGGGCTATACCAAAAATGTGGATCCATATTGATAGTTTTCTGGCGAAATTAGATGGAAATATCAAATACTTACGCTGGTTATAAAAACTTGCGAAATATAGCTTAAAATAACGTAAAGAGGGTTAAAATCTTCAACCAAAACAATCCCCTTATTGTTAGAAATATTTTTCCGAAAAATTTAACAAATGTGGGGAGGGAACTTCCCCCGCCCACTCCTTTTTAAAACGACGACATATCTTTCTACAGAGGGTACATATAATTTCATTCAGGACATTTGTAGACAGTCTGGGGTGTCCGTCCGTCTGTATGGCTGGTGCGCATGATAACTCTCGAAGGGAGTATCCGATTTGATCCAAACTTGCCACATCTTACTTTTATTATCAAACTCAAACTTAAATCGAGGGTACATCAGTGTACTCCTTCACAGAAATTAATTTAGCTTCTAAAACAAGACAGGATCATCCAATTTTGTGCCTCCATAAAGTACCTCCCCCACAAAGGGTCAGCATTTTGAATAAATATAACTCTTATAAAAATTCAACTAAGAGTCCGATTGTCTTCTAATTACATACATCGCAGCATATTTATTTATCCAAGGTCTGGATGTGAATAAATGTGTGTAAATGAATATGTCGGTCAATTCCTTCTGGTACCATACAATACCCCCCACCCCCTCCCAGAAATTGTCAAAATTTTGAATAACAAAAACGATTATAAAATCCGAACTAAATTGTCTTCGTATTTCACATTATCCCATTATTTCTAATAACAAAAGATCTGCCGTGAAGATGGGATATATCGGCCCACACCTTCTGGTACCTCCCCCACAAAGGTCAGAATTTGATATAGCCTAGAAGCTCGTAAAATGCGAAATAAGCATCTGATTCTCTTCAAATTTCACACATCTCAATATTTCTACTAACAAAATATCTTCTGTGAAGATGGGATATATCGGTCTACTCCTTCTGGCACCTCCTCTACAAGGTTCAACATTTTGAATACCCATGAAACTCATAATACGTGAAATTAACATCTGATTCTATTCAGACGCGGCACATCTCTATGTTTCTATCAATACAATTTCTGTTATAAACATGGTAGAGATCGGTCTAATCCTTCTGGTGCCACCTCTACAAAGGGTCAACATTTTGAATAACGAAAACGATTATAAAATCCGAAATAAGCAATCGTTTCCCTTAATACATTCCACATCCGATTACTTTTACTAACACCAGATCTGCTTTGAAGATGGGATATATCGGTCCACTCCTTCTGGTACCTTCATCCCCCCCCAAAGGGTAAACATTTTGAATAATTATATAAAAAAAATTAAACTCTTATAAAATGCGAACAATTTTTTCCAACGCAAGATCTGGCATGAAGAACGGATAAAAGGGTACCTTATGGTACCTCCCCCACAACGGGTCAAAACTTTGAAGTTACTAAAACGCAAAATGAGAATCGGATTCCTTCTAAACTCTCTCATAACTTGTGAAACAAGTCAATTGGAGTCATATAACTCTACATTTATTTGATCAAATAGTTTAAAAAAACGGCCGGGCCAAACTTTTAATACCCTCCACCTTAGGGTAAAAGAAACATTAGAAGAAATGTGACAAAAACCATTAAAATGAGGGAGGTACCGTTATATGGTACCAAAACGTGGACCTATAACTACAATGTTTCGCCACACGAACTAGGATCCATTATGACTCACAAATACCAATTTTTAGACAAATCAGTGAAAAAATGTGGCAAAAATCATCAAAATACCGAATATTGGGAGGCACCGTTATATGGGGGCTATATCAAATCATGGGCCCATGCATGCAATGTTTCGCCACCGGAGCTGGAACCCATTATGCCCAACAAATACCAATTTTCAGACAAACCCGTAAAAAAAATGTGGCAAAAATCATCAAATTACCGAATATCGGGAGGTACCGTTATATGGGGGCTATACCAAATCGTGGACCCATACATGCAATGTTTCGCCACCGGAGCTGAAAACCATTATGACCCACAAATACCAATTTTTAGACAAATTCGTTAAAAAATATGGCAAAAAAAACTAAAATACCGAATATCGGGAGGTACCTTTATATGGGGGCTATACCACAACGTGGACCTATACATGCAATGTTTTGCCACACGTACAGGAACCAGTTATAACCCACAAATACCAATTTTCAAACAAATCCAAGAAAAAATGTGGCATAAATCATAAAAATACCGAATATCGGGAGGTACCGTTATATGGGGACTATACCAGAACGTGGACCGATATATCTCATTTTCAATACCAACCATCCTAGACACAATGCAAATTGCTCTGCTAAATTTTAGCGCTCTACGTCAAATAATGTGGGCTGTATCGTGATTTCTACAGACAGACAGACGGACATCGTTAAATCGACTCAGAATTTTATGTTGATTATGAATATATATACTTTATGGGGTCTGAGACGAATATTTAAGGATGTTACAAACGGAATGACAAAGTTAATATATCCTCTTTTCCAAGGTGGAGGGTATAAAAAGATTGGGTTATTTCTTGCAGTAAAGAATCGACAAGTCTTAAAGTCAACTTTTGTCTTCGACTATCTCTACAAAAATCCGGGTATTTGGAACTATGTCAAAATTAGGCCGACACAACCAATGATCAACACAAAATGAAAAAATACGTTATAATGTCCCCCATAGGTCCATAAAGACTAAAATACTATTCTTTTAGGGGCTTTCGAAACTACGTGTGCATTACGTAGCACTTACATTTGCGAATTATTCGCGGCTGCGGCAAAAGTCATACCTCTGGGTCCAAGTTCAATTCAATATTAACTGCTATATTCTGGTGTACTCCGTTTTATCCGCTTAAATTGTTACATATCGATTCATAAGCTTACCATCTGTTGGGTCTAGCTTCTTCCAAAGAATTGGTTCCAATTTGTCTACATTCGAATCGATCAAATGCAACTGCAAATTGCCTCTTCAGTGAAATCAACTAAGCCCTTAATTCCACATTTAACAAAGCATTATTCGTCAATTATTTTTAAATACATTAAAGTCGCCCTCTCAGACAAACAAAACAAAAAAATGATTACCCCAACTTTCCTAACGAACTTTGGACGGAAATAAAAAACCAACAACAATAATTAATAAGCTAATAATTGCTTCGTGCCAAAGTTTGCTATTTATGGAAAACAATTGTATTTCATTTGCTTTTTGTAGAAATCTTATCTGTAAAAATGACTCGAACAAATTAATTTCATATGTTTCCATTTCTAATATTGTTTCTTTGAATTTTTTAGGTTGCCGTACCCGATCTTGTTGAGGCTGCCAAAGATGCTGATGTCTTGATTTTTGTTGTACCCCATCAATTCATTCCCAATTTCTGCAAACAATTGCTGGGCAAACTGAAACCAAATGCCATTGCCATTTCCTTGATTAAGGGCTTCGACAAGGCCGAAGGTGGTGGCATCGATTTGATCTCACACATTATTACCCGCCACTTGAAAGTTCCCTGTGCCGTCTTGATGGGCGCCAATTTGGCCAATGAAGTAGCCGAGGGTCAATTCTGTGAGACCACCATTGGTTGCCGTGATCCTAAATATGGTAAAATTTTGCGTGATCTCTTCCAGGCCAATCACTTCCGCGTTGTGGTTGTCGATGATTCGGATTCGGTGGAGATTTGTGGTGCCTTGAAGGTAATATTACAAAACATACAAATTTTAATCAAAATACTAAGCAATTTGTTTTCAGAACATTGTTGCCATGGGCGCCGGTTTCGTTGATGGCCTGGGCTTGGGTGACAATACCAAGGCTGCTGTCATTCGTTTGGGCTTGATGGAAATGATTCGCTTCGTTGAAATCATGTATCCCGGCGGCAAATTGTCCACCTTCTTCGAAAGCTGTGGTGTTGCTGATTTGATTACCACCTGCTATGGTGGCCGTAATCGCAAAGTTGGTGAAGCCTTTGTCAAGTCCGGCAAGACCATTCAACAATTGGAAACTGAATTGCTTAATGGTCAGAAATTGCAGGGTCCCTTGACCGCCGAGGAGGTCAACTACATGTTGAAAAACAAAAATTTGGAAGAAAAGTATTTGCCACGCAAACATTTTTTCAAAGTGAAATTTATTTTATTAATCTTATTATTCTGCTTCCATTTAGGTTCCCCCTCTTCACCGCCATTCACAAAATCTGCTCCGGTGTCCTTAAGCCCCAAGATTTGATTGAATGCATACGCTGCCATCCCGAACACATGTAAGTCGTTTGTTTCATAGTTTTCCTTGTTTTTAGGACATAGTTCTTCGTTCGTTTGTGATTTGGTCTTTAGGATATAGAAATACTACTACTCTTATCCTTGCATCATGTACAACAACATATAATAACCTCAACTCTCTTGGAAGTCTTTTAAGTCATACAAATATAGTTTATAGTCTCTTTTGTGCAATATTTATGTTCACCAATATGTTTTTAGTAAATAATTAATTTAATGTCCCATATCTGTAAAGAGTTCCTTAAATTTTATCTCTAAGTTCCAATTGAGATAAGAAAATATGTATTTGTTTTTAAAAAAATGTGAAATTTCATTTTTTTGTGATTAAAAAACTAAGTGTTATCAATTGTGTTGAAAACATATCTTCCAACAACAACATCATGATCCAAGGTGTTCCAAACAAAATTCTTTATAATTACAAATAAATTAGAAAAATATACTAAAAACATAAAAATGTATCAAAAAAATGTTAAATGCACCACCTAATGTTTCTGTCAACAAACGATCTGAACATCAACAAGATAAAGTAGGTAATTGAAAAACAACATCGAAAGAAGAAAAAATAGCGTTTAAAATATCTTTCAGTGTTAGAAATTAATTTTAAAAAAGTTGGAAATAGAGATAGGAACAACAGGAATGGCACGTAACGGGTAGTTGGGATTTAGATCCACAATGGATCTTTCCAGTATAACTCCGAAAGAAACATATGCACTTGTATGGCTGTTTTTTCGACTCCTGTAACAAAAGTAGGACTGCTGCAACAACTAACAAAATCCCAAATTATATTTAAAAAAAATTACTAACACTTCACGTATCTACCTACTAAAACATTAAGGCCCCAAAGACATATAAAATGAAATATTGAAGTTCTTTTGATTAAAATGCTCTTGTTTTTATTAACCTACCGCTTCGACGCACATATTGCCTATATATTGCGTTAAAAGTACCTACCTTGAATACTTTTCACACAAAATCTTCAGCGGCGTTCTGGAACACGGTACAAAAACAAATAATGTTTTGGAATTTAGCCCTGATTTCCCCATTCTTAACTGTACTGCTGTTGAAAGTATTGGTCCAACTAAAAATATGGAACAAATAAAAAATATTGCTGAAAATAAAGACGTTTTATGATGAGGGCAGACGGATATAATGGCCCGAAGTGACTAAAGATATTTAATCATAATGTAGAGTTTTCGATTCTGAAGAAGCAGATAAGAGTTTTGAATCTATTTTTGGATTCTACTATACATAAATGTGAGCGCATTAGTTCGTTCGTGGTCTTATTTACAGCCATGTTGTCTGTCGACACAAAAAATAGATAAGAGTTTGGATCCTTTTTTAGATCTCCTGTATTTAAATATGAGTTAGTGGCTTAGTAGGGGTTCGAACATCTTCGTTTCTTAATTTCATTAGAAATCGATTATTCGTCTTACAAAGTTTTGCCAAATAGCTTTGAAAATACTCCTGTCAGGCTAGACAGCCTTCTTGCTGTATTATGATGCAATTACAGTGATATATGGTTGTCTAAATTGAGTTTTGCAAGAGGATGTTGTGTTATCCCGATACCCTGCGGGTCAGTCCATTAATTTCGTTAACAAAGTATGACAAACTAGAAACGATTTGTTAAAGAATTTAGAGGAAGAGGTTTTCAGCGCGTGGAGGTTCTGATAAAATTGTTTTCGGAACCTAGGCAGACTCAGTTAAATAGATTTTGTAAGAGGAAGATACTGAGATACGTGTAAGGTTATACAAGATCAATTTATTCGGTATATTGTGTCCATCTTGGCAAGGTATTAAGAGTGATTTAAGGCAAGGTATTAGAGAGAGATCATAAAGAAGAAAGGACAATTTAATAAATTTCTGTCTGGAAGTTACTCCAAGCTCCACTTACAAGACATCTGCTCGCATGCGATCTTTCATTTTAGAATCATTCGAACTTTATCATTATTAAAAGATAAGTGATACACAGAACGTTGTTACATGTTGTTTATCTGCCAATCTCTTGACTTTAGGCGTTTCGGAAACCAAATCACATTGATGTTGAGTGGAAAGGTCCTCTAACATGCTGTACCAATTTGAGTTCTGATCCCGCCCCTAGCAAGAGTTTGGAACATTTGTTTTACCGGCTCATTACTTCTGTTTCTTGACATAGCACCATATCCAGTAAATACAGTCTTCTACTTACTAAAATCTCCGCCTGGAAGACTCTACAAACCTTATCAAGGCCGAATGATATTTCCACAAATAGATCCTCTCGTAAGACGTCGTTTCTTCACTTTAGAACCTTTTTGACGACCTATACCTTGATTAAAAATGATATACACGTCTGTATATTGCCTGATTTTTTTCATTTTGGAAACTTGAGGCCATTTAATTCATTTGCGAATTTTTCAGACTTCAATAAAAAATTTGTTTAAAGAGAGGATTAAGTTCGCCTATCGCTGTAAACAGTTTCAGTTTTTATTCCGCTTTTCTATCATCCTAGGTCTATTGCCAAAATAGCTCAAATAGAGGCACAAAAAGTACTCGATCGTCTGCATTTTTTATGACCCGTGAATCCGGGCTGTGTGCTAAAATCTTTACCTCAAAGGTGCTGCAAATGTCTTCAAAAGCCTTCCCAACAGATTCTCTTCAAAGATTAAAAGATGATTAATTCCCTGTCAACCTATGTTGTGGCAGTTACATCGTCTTGTTCCCGTCTCTAACTTCAACTTTCAAAATCAGCTTCTTCAACAGAGTTGTAGCCATAAATTTTCAAGTGTGGAGGAGTTGGGTAGGTCTTAAAAATTTTTGCACGTTTTCATTTCAATTTGAGACGGTTTCAGCGTCGTCTGACCAAAATTTTTATAGTCCGTCTCTGAACTCCGACAACTACATTATTTCTTTATGACATCGATGTAGCCAGTAATGCTTTTCGAAAATATTTAAAGAGGTCCGACGGACAAAAAAAATGAATTTTTAAGCATAATGTTAAACATTTATAAATTGACCACTTTGGAAGGGGTCACAACTCCGGCTACGTCGGTGCTTTATTACATCGGTGACTACTTCTGTATGAATACAACTCTGACCTGTCTGATAGGCTTTCTCTCTTCATCTCATCTCGTCTAGATCATCTCTAGATCGTCTAGATCCTTTCTGACAAGGCAGTTTGCAAGACCCGAAAGTTAATTATGCGAACGTACAGATAGAACCTTCGCTACTATCAACGAATGCAATGGGAATTTTAATCAAATATATTAAAACACCCACGTAGAAGGCCCCCTAGCCTTGCTGATTTCTAATTTGACATATTTTGAGGAATTAAAAAATGTTTCCTTTTTTTAAGATTTCATGCGTACGCAATAGATGAGAAGTAAGCGGAGGTAACTAGCCATAAATTGCAACATATGTGATTTAAGATTAGAATTTTGTATTTTATCCAATTTATCTGATATACAATAAGGAAGATGATGTTTAGGCGATTTTTCTTAGTAATCAAGGAACCTAAAAAGGAAATATTTTGCGTATAATAGGATTTTATTTACCCCAAAAAAATAGACAACATATATTAATTTAGGGCTTGGCACCAGAAAATATAAAACTCTGATTTTATGACTGTTTTCAGTCTTATGGGGGTTTTATTAGTCCACATGATTTGTTAGAACGATATCTTCTAGGTTTTGAAGAATTGAAACGCTTTATCAAGCTTTATTTTAAAATAATACTGAAAGATATTTTATAAAATTATTGGAAACGAAACTAAATCTCTTGTCTAGTTATAAGAAATTCTGAAAAAAACTTAAACTCTGCACAAGCTTTAATTGTTAAACTAATAACAACAAAAAACACTTTATAATTAAATGTATTTTTATAATCATTATTAAACACCGATTCTTTTTATCATTTTTTATTCATAACCCTTAACTAATAATGTTTAAATAAATCATAATTTTAATCTCCATCAATTGTTTTGTTTTAGGTCGTCATCATTATTGCCTGCACCAAAACTATAAAGTAACACTCAAAGCCAAAACACACACTCCAGTCAGTCAGTCAATCAATCATAAAGCGCCAGCACAAATTTCATCATTGTTGTTTTCTTTTCTTTTTGTAAAAATTAAAAAAAAAAACCAAATGTCAACTGTCCCGCAACATACTAACGAAGAGAAAACTTCCAGCGAGCGTGTTTACAAATCAATCATCCCAAAATGACATTCATCAAAAGGTCCTTTGATGTTTTGTTTGTTTTGTTCCTAGCACAAAATGACAGCAAAAAAAATCATGTTACAAATCATGCTGCAACAATTGTCATAAGAATGTTTTATTTTTTCCTCTCTATTTTAATTTTTCCTGCCTTGTATTTTTTTTTAAATCATGTTTTTGATTTTATTTCCTCATAATTCTATTTTTTTATTAATTTTTTTATGTACATAATAAAGTGTAAATTGTTAAATATATTAATGAGAAATGAGAAAAAAATTAAAAATAATTGTTAATAAAGAAAAAACAAAATAATTGGTTATTTTCTACAGAATGAAAATTATAACAAAATAATGTTTTAATTGGCTCCCCTTTTACATTGGCATGGCAAGCAAAATTGTCTCAAAATGTGTTCTATGTTTTTTTTTCATCTTCTAAACAATGACCAAAATAATATTAAAAATTTGCCAAACCTCCAATTTTCTTTTAATTTGCAGGCAAAAACTATAAACAATTGCTTTCTAGCAAATCTTTTGAGTTTGGTGTACAAATGAAAAAAAAAAAATCAATAAATCAACAAAAAAAGCCAACTACCGCTTTCTATAACATCTCAACTATGCTTCTATCAAAACCTTCTCATGTGCTATAACTTTAAGACCTAACAACTTAAATCGTTAAACAAAAATGAACAAACCAAAATATAAAGAAAATACCAAATCTGTGATTTGTTTTTATTTAAAGATAAAAGAAAAGACACACGATTTTTACTCAACAAAAATGCACAATTACACTTAGTTTGAATTAAAGAAGGGAAGGACATATATGTACGCAGAAAACTTCCCACTTTAAGGTTTTTACTCTAAACTCACTTGTTAAACTACCACATTATGGATGCTTTTTTAAAAAGATCATTTCAAATCCCCTAAAAACCTCCCTACAAATCCAATGGCATATCTTAACAACAAAAAATAGGAAACTATTGTCCTCCGATTTATTTTTTGGTTCACACGCCACACCACTACCACCATTTTATTGAAACGTTAAGTAAAGACGAGGAATACAAAAGCAAAACACACAACAACAACAACTATGGTACCTAATATAATTTTAAGCTAATCAAAACGGACAATGGAATTTTATTTCATTGATTTTTGTGTGTTTGTAAAAAAAAATATTAGACCACAAAATCGAAAACCAAACGCTAGTTATAACAATTTTAAATTTAACAACACAAAAAAGGTAGCGATAATTAAGACCATCAAATTTGAACAAAAAGAAAAATATAAATAAATGTATGCAAAAAAATAAATATTTTGAAATGCCCCTTAAAGTATGTGATATCTAATTTTTATTTATTTTGAAAGGCATGTAAGTAGAAAGAGATTTGCATGTAATAGCGTTTATAAAGAATAAACTGTAATAGAATTAAATATGGAAACATTTAACAACACTGGGATCTACTCACATGAACCCATTCTATATCACTTTACTTATAGATGAAAAACCTCGAAGAGAGGAAACCATGTATTCTGTAGGATTTCAGTGTGATTTTTGTAATTCACCAAATCGATAGGAATCTGAAGAAGTTGAAACAAAAACGATCGAAATTAAATCAAGGAATTGAAACTTTTCCGATCAGAATCTGAGACGTGCTTGATAAAAACGAAGTCATTATTTACTGCGGATTGCCCACGTGGACACATATTGTTCCATTCTGCGAAAGGAAATTCTAGATAGACAAAAATGGAAGGCAGGAAGTACATAGTATTTGGGCTTCGGATCAAAGACATAGAAATATAAAGACAGGACAAGACATAGTAAAAATATGGCAACCCTGTAAGAATACCTTCGTTGTTATGATATCATAACAATATAGTCAGTTAACATTGATTTAAATCGCTAAAACAATATGCAAAATTTTGGAAGTGTATATGGAATGGAATTTTGAAACCACGTTTTTGGATTTGTCAAACTTTTATTTGTTATTCGTTTCTGTAATTGTGGTTTTTATATTAACTTGCCTTTGTCTATGTATTGTAGATACAAACCATTTGGTCAAAATGCATCAAAGACTTAAAATGGTTAAGACTAGGCGAAATGGAAATGGCGTTCCGAAACTAGGTCCAGGCAAGACTGACACCAAAAAACTCTTGTTGCTAGGAAGGAAGAATCTTTACTACTCTACGTCATTGAAGAAAACTAACCAATAACCGATCATAAAGAGAATTGGAGTTAACCGTGGGTAACGGTAAAACCACTCGCGTACAGTGGGGAAAAAGGATGATATTAATGTTTAACAACGTAATGGTGACTGATCCAAAGAGGTGCGCTGGCCAAGAGTAAAAGAGATGCGCTGACCACTTTAATTGAATACCCGGATAGTGATGGGACGAAACTTCAAGGAAGTACCAGAAAAAGATGGATACGCTGTGAATCGAGAACTTAACAAAAGTCTTCATCCTGTCGTTAGCCACCCAAAGCCTAGAAAATGGGCAGAGTGGTACCGCTACTCATTCGGTACTCACTGTTGTCGCCAGTATCTTTTGAGGTTTTACTTATTCCCCTGTGTTAGGGCAATTTATCCAGTTGTTGATCATCACCATGGTTTACGACAGCAACACTACAACAGAATTCCACGACATCGGATGTTAACTTCGCGTTTTATGAGCTTCATGGATGTTCAAAATTTTGACCTTTGTGAGTGAGGTACCAGAAGCAGGTGACCTATATGGATATATAGATCAGCTTCTCAGCATATCTTGCGTTACTAAAAATAATGGGGTGTGTGAAATATGAAGAGAATCGGATGATTATTTTGAATTTTTTTAACCACTTTGGTTATTTAAAACTTTGACCCTTTGTGTGGAGGTACCAGAAGGAATAGTCCGATCTCTACCATCTATATAATAGATTATGTGTTGATGGAAATTTGGACCCTTTGTGGGGAAGGTACTAGATGGAGTGGATCGATATTGTTAATTTTCGCACCTGACCTAGCACCGATGCAAATATTAGGATTCGAAAGGTTGGAGCAAAATTGGATTATCCTTTCTCTTTCTGTGCAGTTAATTATTTTCTTTTAAAAAGGTTGACCTTTTGTAGGGAGGAATGGATCGATATTACCCATCTCGGAACTCAATCTAAGTTTGACAATATAGTACAAGTTTGGATCAAATCGGATATTCCCTTCGAGAGTTATCGGGCGCACCAGCCAGCCAGACGGACGGACGGACATCGCTAGATCGACTCCAAATGTTCTGAAACGGTTTTGGTCCAAAAGACCTAGGCACATTTTGGCCGTATTAGATGATACCCTCATTAGCTGAGGGTATAAAAATGAAATAATTTGTAGAAATTGAAATGAGTATTCGTTTGGTTAAAACTTCGCAAATCGTAACTTTTATATCAAATTAAATCTGGGGAGGTCTATAGCTAATGGTGCCTCCTGATGCTCTTTCCGATCCAATTTTTTATTGTCATTGTTTATTATATGTTAAATAACTTCCCAATCTTCTTAGAACTTTCCACATTTCAATATTTCCAACAAAACAAGATAAACATTGCGATAAGCATTAACTCTCTTAAAAACCCTTAAGAAAGTCGCTAAGTTCTAACTTTTTATACCCTCCACTATTCGGAAGGAACTTGAAAATTTTCAAAAATAAAATTCCGTCGAAAAATACCGCTCAAACGAAAACCTTTATATGGGGGCTAAACGAAGACTTGATGCTGTATGAGTAATTTTTTGTTATAGGCCGTAGTAACGATTCCTAACTTCAAATACGAAATTTGAAACAATTCCGGTTAATAATGTCGCTAATGGAAATGGTAAAGTGGGTACCGTTAAATGGGTGCTATCCTAAAACGTAGACCTCTTCCAGGAGTTAAGAACTTGAAGGGAACTCCTTGCGTGTATTTTCAGAAAATTCCACTATCGGGAGGACTCGTTATATAAGGGATATATGATGTCGTGAACATACATAATTCTCTTCCAGGGATTAATTAGGAACTCCTTTTGTGGATTTTAAGACAATTCCATTGGTAGATGTGGCTAAAATCAAAATACCGAATATCGGGGTACCACGATATTGGTGGCCTATACGTTATTGTGGACCCATATAGACAATTCTCTTTCAGGGGGTAACGTACTCACAGAGAACTCCGTGTGTAGAATTTCAGACAATGGCATTGAAAAATGTGGCTAAAATAATCAAAATGCCGAATATCGGGGCTACCGTTATATGGGGGCTATACGATATCGTGAACCGACATAGCCCATCTTTGAACTTGACCTGCCTGCAGACAAAAGACAGATCGGTGCAAAATGTTCTGTTTTTCTTTAAACTTCTAAAATGTCTGATGAGAAAATGGAAACATCGGTCAAGTTCCTCTGGTACCATCATTAATTTAAAATTGTCCAAAAATGAACATGAGGTGAGCATGTATTGCATTTGTACAACCATAAAATTTGGTGGGGAAATTGATAAACTTTCTCATACCTCGCCCACAAAAGGAGATACATTTGAGTTGCGATAACTTATATAAAAGTAAAAGTAGTGCCCGACTTTCTCCAAACTACGCACATATTAATATTTCTGCTTATATAAAGTCCAGTGTTGCTGGTTGCTTCTCAATAAACCATCAAAAGGTTTCCCAAGAAACTATCCAAGTTTTTACTTGAAACACCCTAGAATCCCTGATTTGAGCTAACCATGCTTTCTTCAAAATCCGAGTTAATAGATTAATTCGTCAGAAAAGTCTTCCGCTTTCGTCTATTACTATCTTATTATTTTATTCCGAAAAAAACATTGTTTGCTAAATATGCGAGGTTTTTACTTATATCTAATTTCATTTAATTCAGTACAACTTTGTTTCCATTGATGATCCAATAAAAATGTTTGCTTCAATGAACTAAATCAATTTCAAATGATTGATTAATTAGCAATGCTATAAATTTGTTAACAATCAAATAAGTGTACGAGTATGGAATATTTTCGAAATGAGTAATCACCTAAACATTTATGTTGAAGTTGAAATTTGAATTAACAACCTTCAACTCAAGAGGTATGTGAAACCTTTCACATCTTAAATGTGAAATTAATATAACCCATAATAGTAATTCACTTATTCACTTAATGAATATGATTTACAATTAAAAACAATTACAATTTTGTAAATTAATTCACACAACAACATTCATTCAATGATGGTGTGTGGCCATGCTTTCATGTACGAGTACACAAAATGACGCGATAGACAAATGGTAACAAAAAGGTACAGCACGGCGGCATGCAGAAACTGCACTACATATGAACGTTTGGACTATTACCAACACCGGCGACAGCTCCCAATGGGCATGAATGAGTTTTGGGTTACAACATCTTAATTAAATGAAAACAGCGTCAAAAATAACTAACCTTGAATTTGTGCAAAATTTGTTTGAAATTTCAGTTCACCTGCTATTTACTTTTGTTTTCAAATAAAATTTGCTGTGAAATTGTTAAACATTTTCTTGGGAGGAGTTTCATTAATTTGAGGGCGTAGACATGGATAATGAAGTTGAAAAAGTGGCACAAGCCACATCATTTCAAGGTCGTGCGGAAATGTTATGGGGTAATGACTTCTTGCATGGAAATTATGAATTCGCCTTAATTATTTTGTCTAGGCGTATTTGTTTGTGAAAATAGAGGTATTATAATGTTTAAGCCTATGGTGAACATGTAAGTTGTTATATGTCTATGATCATGGAGTTAAAGACATAAGAAAACATTTGACCTTTCCAATAAAAGAGGTGATGACGGAAACTCTTGTAGATATCTAGGCACCTCTATATCTTTATCACATCTACATAGCATTTTAAAATATTTTTCTCTTGATCTTCATATCGATTTAGTAACTAATGACTTATAAAAATTATAGAGAACTTTTTCTCTCTGTGATCGAAGTTTTGTCTGGTCCATATCTGAACACTTGAGGTTTTCAACATTTTTTAACCGTAAATATATCTTGCACAGACATAAACCACCTGAATAATTCTC